TCATCTAACCCTTACCCTTACCATAGAGGAAAGTTCATCAGAATAATTACAATGAAAGTACTTTTAGAAAAGGCATGAGGAAGCTATATTATAATAATAGAAAAGGGACTGGAGCCGAGATGCCAGGTCAGGACCAAGAACATTGCAGATTCCTCTTTGAATTTTATTTAGGATTTCTAAATATGTAACAGGAGCACCAGACCAGATGTGGCAGCAATATTCAAAGCAAGGACGAATGGTAGACTTATAAATATGTAACATTGATTCTGGTGAGAAAAAATTGTTTAGCACTACACAGTGAACCAAATTTCCTAACTGCAGATTTAGCAATTAATTCAATATAATCTTTCGACTTTACGGCAGCAGAAAATGTTATTATTGAACATTTTTATTTTACATCCAATTAATAATTTGTATGAATTGAAAATATGAATGAAAGTGTTAAATAATAGTTTCAGACTATTATTTTTTAGTGGCAGTGTATTTGGCTCAAACCTTCTGAGGCTGACCTTGGGGTCAGCTGGTCGACAAAACAAAGGAAGCTGTTTTTGATTGGCTGAACTGAACATAGGAATATTAGACAGAAAGTGTTTTCAAGGAGTTAAATTTTACATGCCATACAGATTAGATGTGGTTATTGTGCATCCCAGGGAACTTGCTCCCAGTGGGGCTGATAGAGCGACCCCACTGATGTGTTAATAAAATAGAGAAGTTTAAAAATCCCTCTTGTTGAAGTTCTCATTTTATCTCTAAATGAAAGACTAGCAATCATCTGGCCAGAAGATGACAGAAAGAAGAAAGCAACATATGAGTGAATCAAGACCGTCAACATAAGACTACCCCCAGCACGAAGGGGTATACAACATAAGAAAATCTTTATAAATTTAACATTTAATTATTTATCTAGATTCCTCAAAGTTTTGAGAATGAAGCAGTGCAGAAATTTTTTTTTTATTTGTACATTTATATTTGTGAGGAGACATGGTGGAGAGTGGCTCAGATTGAAGAATCAGAGAGTAAAGTTCAAGTTCTATTTGAATCCATTACATTCACTTATGTGCTAATACCAATGGGAAAGGTATAAATCCTCTTCTTCCCCCAGCTATGGATAAATAGCAGGACAAACTGGGTTCTATAGCTTTGGGTGGCAACTGGTCTAGGAAAAGGACAACTCTGAATTCAAAACCTGATCCCCAAGGTTGGGGGTTGTACAGTAAGCAAACAACCTACTCACTTAAGAAAAAAAAAAAAAAAAAAAAAAACTAGCTTGTTATAGAAACCGCAACGATATCTTGCAGCCCTATGTTCCCTAAGGAATCTAAATGCATAATATATTATAGTGTTACTTTGGTGGTTTACTGCTTTCTTTTCAATAATAAAGGGGAAAGTTTTTTTTTTTTTAATTCCATAAAAATGTTTATGACAAAGAAAGGAAACCAAATAAATAAATAAAAATACTTAAGAAAACAAATAAAAACAAAACAAAACTTAACTTTAAAAGGCATCGTTTTAAAATGTGATAAATATGTTCAATTTAATCTTTACCATTTTAAATGAGTTCAACAAATCAATATTAAAAAAATATAACTCAATGAAATAAAAAAAAGGTGAAAGTTCAAAACTGAGGTTCACTTAATATATATCTGTTTGTTTTAGCATATCAAAACCAACCAATCAACATCCAGACAGGACAAAGAAGTAACACTGACCTTTTTACTGTGACTTTAATAACATAAATATTTGAATATGAGCTCAAAGGTACCACCACCCCCTTTACATCATTAATTCATTTCAATCATTTTCAAATACTGAAAATGTATTACTAGTAAATCTTGCTTGAATTGATTAATTTGTCTCAATCCTTACTTACCTGAGACAACTTCCCATTAAGTGATTAGTGGAATCAAGGTAAATAATTATGATTCCCCAGCTTTTCATGATCATCCATCAAGACTTACAAAAATCTGTTTTCAAGACAAGTTTTAGATGCATGTAATGACAAAACTTATGGTTTATAAAACAATAAGATATTTGACATCTATTACATAACTAACAGTCATACCCAGCTGGTCAATCAGAAAAGGCATCCAATGCAGCAAAAAAAAAAAAAAACAAAAAAGAAAAAAGTCAATCATGTTTAGATGTAATAAAGTCTATCTTCTTCATTGATATATATATATATATATATCTATCTATCTCTCTCTATATATATATATATATATATATATATATATTTATTCTATCTCTCTATATATATATATATATATATATATATATATAATATATATATTTATCTATCTATATATATATATCTATCTCTATATATATATATATATATATATATTTATCTATCTATCTCTATATCTATATATATATATATATATATATATATTTATTATCTATCTCTATATCTATATATATATATATATATTTATCTATCTAACTATATCTCTTATATATATATATATATATATATATTTATATATATATTTATATATATATATATATATATATTTATCTCTCTCTCTCTCTCTATATATATATATATAATATATATATATATTTATCTATATTATATATATATATATAATATAAATATATATCTCTCTCTCTCTCTCTATATATATATATATATCTATAATATATATTTATATATATATATCTCTCTAAATATATATATATAATATATATAATTATATATATATATCTCTCTCTATATATATATATATATATATATATATATTTATCTATCTATATCTATCTCTATATCTCTCTCTCTATATATATATATATATATATATATATATATATATTAGCTTAAAAGCTGGTTTATTGGTTGGCATTTAAGCTAGCTCCTATGGATGGTTCTTGATTGGGTCTTCATCACAGTAGGTAAGGAGGAGTAGATGCGATAGGTAACAATAAACTACAGAAGAACTCAAAATTAATCACTGCATTTAAGGATTGCCTTAATATTTAAGATTATGGTTTAAAAGTTCAATGATAATTCTTCTGCTGGCACTTAATTCAAAAGCAGTTTGATGTATGTAGGTCCTTACTTTCAATAAAACAATCATTTTTATTTCAGGGCTGACTTTTGCTGGATTTCATAATCAATTTCAATTATTCCCAAATTTATTTCGAAATTATAAAAATTGTTATTGTATAAAAAAAATTTGTTGCAAAAATTCATGTAAAAAAGAAAAAAATATTGCTGAAAACAATCACAGTAATGTAAACTTGGGAATCCAGAACTTCAAGATTGCAGGTCTGGATCCGCCCCCAGATTGTTTTTAATTTGCCCATGAATTCAGACTGATTCCAAAATGGCAAAATGTGTTGGGCTACAACTTCTAAGAGTAAAGTTGAAAAATTGTGCATTTATATATTATATATATATATAAAAAAAAAAAGTGTGTGTGTGTGTGTAAAAGTGGATAATGAAATCACCTCTCTGTGGTGACAGTGTTTCATGCTTAAATATAATTGTCAGGCCATGTCTACATGTTATATCCCTAATATTGAGCATTTTAGCCAATACCAGGACAGGAACGTGCATTCTCCTTTTTAATAGAAACTACTGTCTTATCCAGTAATTTTTAGATCACTCAGCCACAGAGAGCATCAGAGTCCAGAAAGGTTCAATTAAATTTTTTAAATAATTCACATCTCGTTCTGTGTGAAGCTTTCTGTGGCTCAAGCAGTCATGCCAGATGAAGGTTTCTCTGTTGGAGAGCACATTATCTTTATTAAGTCTCTTGAATGTGTAGGCCAGTAGACGTAATCAATACGGGTTAAAAAAAAAAAAAAAAAAAAAAAAAAAAAAAAAAAGGAAAAAAAAAAAAAAAGGAAAAAAGAAAAAAAAAAAAAAAAAAAAAAAAAAAAAAAAAAAAAAAAAAAAAAGAAAAAAAAAAGAAAAAAAAAAAAAAAAAAAAAAAAAAAAAAAAAAAAAAAAAAAAAAAAAAAAAAAAAAAAAAAAAAAAAAAAAAAAAAAAAAAAAAAAAAAAAGAAAGAAAAAGTACCATACTAGTAGATATAAATAATATTGTGAAAAACTTAAAACAATGGACAATAAGAATAATGAATGAAAGGGACAAATCCTCACACAAAAAAAGTTTTTGTCACTTGGGTGTGTACAGGAACTTTGTTTTTCAATGGAGAAAAAAGAAAAAAAAAATTCAAATTTATGAAGAAAGCAGGGCCTTATATTTCAAGAATCATGAAGAGATTTTTGTCGTTTAGAATGCAAACAAGGAAACCAAGGATAAGGCAGGGTTAAAGGTTGAGTAGATATTTTTATCTGTTGGCTTAGTAAATCTTAAACACTTTCAGTAAATGTGACCGAGTAGGTGGATAAAAAATGAAATTCCAACTGACTATCCTTATAAAATTCTTCAAGTCTGTTAACAAAGATCCGGTTGGTTATTTTTGTTTAGCATCCTATCAACGCCTCTATGAGTTATTTAATGCCGAAATCTAAATATTTTGTATGCTTTTTTTTTTGAGATAATAACAGTTTTAATAATACAAATCTTACTAATTAACCCATAGCTGAAGGAAGAGAAGGTGGATTAATATCTAACCTAAGGGTACTTGCATTTTGATAGGAATTAATACCACCTTCATAAGATTAGAAAATGAATTCAGTAAATACACAAAAATAGAAAGGGGCATAAGACAAGGATATGTCTTCTCATCAGTCTTATTCAACCTATAAAGGGAATTACAACTTGATTGGTTGTTTTGTTTCACTGGATTATTTAAAACTGAACTCTAAATATTTTGTGAGCAATTTTTAGGGGAGATAATAATGGTTTCAGTGATACAAGTCTTACATTAGTAAAACTTGTATCACTAAAACCATGCTGGTGTGTGTGTGGGGTAAGCGGATTCATAACTTATCCAAGAGTATTTGCGTGTCAGTGAATTGGAATTGGAACTTGGTTCTCTGATTAACAATTCCAAGCCATTACCAATTCCACCGCCGACACATCCAAGCTTATAGCACCTGGTATTCTCGAGCAGTCACTCATCTAGGTACTGACCAGGCTCGACATTGCTTAACTTCAGCGATTTTATGGGAACCATTTTTTCAGTCTGATGTGGCCATAAGCCCAGAAATATCTAGAGAGAAGGCACACAAGAAAAATGTTATTTCAAGATTGAACGTGGAAGCCTCCTTTATATATATTTTGTTGTCTTTTCATTATTTTTTCTATTATAAATTTTTATCTTCTTTTATAGTTACTTACAGTTGAAATAATGTCATCATCTATGTTGTTACTACCACAAAGTTTCAGCTGTTATGCTTCCTGGTCTTCTTCAGGCAACCTTCAAGTAATTTCAAATTGAACCCTTTATTTAATCTACAGAAGTGAATTGTTCATGTCTATGGATATCTCATCTTTTTTTTTTTTTTTTTTTTAGTACTGATCAGTTATTGTTCACTGTTTCCACTGAGTCAGAGTCTGTACTACTGTACTAACTACCCCAAGGATAAAACTCACAATTATTTTCCTACAAAATTTATAAACCAACATTTTAATCCTTCAGGCTAAAATTTATTCTTTTTTTATTATCAGCTTTGTAATTACAAAAATTAAATATCAACTCATTGTGCAATCAATAAATCATTCTTAAAAATTCACACCACCCTCTGCCTTTTTTTACAAATACTTTCATGGTAGGTAACTGCTCGGATGAACTGTTTTCGCTGGTTCCCAAACTTCATGAATTTAAGCGTTCTACTAGGCTGACATCTTGCTCACACCCTTTCACTGTCGAAACTGTTAAATGTAGCCATCTCTTCTACTCCAGTAGCTTCATGTCGTGCACTTCTCGCCTGTGGAAATCCTTCCCCTTTTCCCTGATAGCTATAATCTCCAACTATTCAAATGTAATGTCAATGGACGTCTCTAGATGCCTTGATCTATCTCTTATCCTTCTTTTCATTCTTTTCACTCCTATTTGCTCTCGCTCCAACTCTCTGTAACCCCTTACGTGCTAGTGGCTTCCCGCCTTGCTTGGGGTGAAACGCTTAGAAAAAAAAAAAAAAAAAAATTACATTGTTTAAAGCCAAAGGTAGAAAAACCTTTCTACATTGGTGTATCACAATCTTCCTTAACATCAATTTTCTCCATTTTTGGCTTAAATATATATGCATATACAAAAAAAAAAAAAAAAAAAAGAATAGTGTGTATTTTTTTTAATCATTTCACATCATTTTGCCCCAAGCAAAGTGGAAATGCTACTAGTGTGCAGGGATTTACAGAGTGAAAGTGAAAGAAAAGACAAGAATAGGGAAGTTTGAGAAAAGGACAAAAAATGAATGGGATTGAAAAGGACAGAAGATGTCGCTTGACATTGCAATTTTTGAAAATTGTAGTTATTAATGAAGCAAGTAAACAGAAAGAAATTCCACAGGTGGGAAGTGTGAAAAAAACTAATGGAGTACAAGTAGCAGTTGTGTTTAGCTATTTCAACAATAAAAAGGTGGGACCTAGTTGCCAATCTCATAACATGTTTCGATTCATGTAGTTGGGACACCAGTGTGGGGGTGGGGGAGGTTGGTGTTGAAAAAATCATAAGAGCAATTGCCATGAAAATATTTGGAGCCTCAGACCAGATATAGCAACAGTATTCAATGCATGGGTGAATGGAAAATTTGTAAATGTGCAAGATGCATTCTGTCAAGAAATATTTCCTGGACACACACACGTGGGGGTGTGTGTATACATACATACATACATACACGAACACACATATAATGTCAGTCAGTTATGTGCCATGCGTTATACATGCTTAGGCAATCTTTCGATACATGACTGACGAGGTAGATTTTTTTCACGTAGTAGGTTGCCATTTCTTTCTGTGGTAGACCAGCTGCCATCCAAGGCTATAGAACCCATTCTGTCCTGCTATTTACCCATAGCTGGAGGGAGAAAAAGAGGATTCATACCTTTCCCAATGGTATTAGCACATAAGTGAATGTAATGGATTTGACTGGAATACGAACTTGGGTCTCCGATTCCTCAATCAGAGCCACTATCCATTACTCCACTGTGCCTCCTTTATATATATCTCCAAATGTAAAAGAACGATGAGTAAGATTTCAGTGTTCAAAACATTAATTTAAAACATGGCTCAATACAAAAGTAGAGCCATAAGTATTTATTTATTAAGCAGTGTTACATTAGTATGAGGCGTTAGAAGTATTGTGTAGAAGTAGACTTTAGGATTGGGTTTCTGGTTCCTTCTAAACAAGAAACAACGAACAAACCTCTACTCCTGTTCAAAAGACTGGTAAGAAGTGTGAACCAGAAAATTACAGAGATTGGCTCAGAATATATATGTTAGGGTAGAGTTAGTTAGGCAACTGGCAGTATGATATTAGCTATTAAGTTTTCACATAGTAGAAGTTCAAATACCCTCTACCAAAATAGAACTGATTATTTGAACTTTGTTTTTTGGGGAAAAAAAAAAACAAAGTACTAAAAAAATATGACGAGATATACATACAAGTCCCAATTTTGGTTATACTATTTAGGCTAGCAAAAGGTGATTACGAGCTTATTTACCCATTTAAAAATGAATACACTTAAAATAAATGAATGAAAGGTGCAGAATAAACAAAATGAAATTAAATAAGAAAACTTCTCTGTCCACTCTACCACTGAACTTTGTCCATGTTACCTGACTATTCGGCCAAAAGGAATCAGAATATAAGAATATATATATATATCCAATCCAAAAAGATTGGAGATGAAAGTTCACCATTTATTCAGCTTTCATGCCATAAAGTGAACAGTCTGAGAATTGCTTTATTGTGGGAAACTTGAAATCACATGTTTTGAATTGGATTCCAGGTTGGTTTTCTTAATAGAAATCTCTTGATTATTGAGCACTTCGTATTGTAAGATAAATGGTCTTTATTTTGGCTTTCTTTTCTCCTCTAGGTTAGACCCAGTGGCTTAAAAAAAAAAAAAAAAAAAAAAAAAAAAAAGAGAGAAAAAGAGGTTTCATTAATTCTAATTATATATGTCGATATATGAGGCTGTTTATAACAACCTGTAAAACCAGTTCGAAGGACTGGAGGCGAAATGTTTAAAAACAAATTTTGTCTAATGCAGTTGCTTGAAAACCTTGCGAGGATTTATTTTTCCTTGGCAAAATTTTTATCTGATCTGATTCAAAGAGAAAAAAAAAAAAAAAAAAGTCAAACTTAAAAAAAAAAAAAAAAAACTTTCGTTTAAAAAACAACAAAAAACAATGAAGTTTCTTATATCATCAAATTTATAAATGGGTTGGTGGAATAGCATAGTTCAGATGGAATTACAACTGGCTTGAATAATTGACAAAATATTAAACACTCCTAGAATTCCCAGAAATTGTTCTTAATTTAGTAATCTTGCTTAGAGTTGAAGGAACAAAAAAGATTTTCTTTAAACTTTATTATACAGTATATTAACCATTTTGTTTCATTAGCTTCTGCCATTTTTCAGGCAATTTCATAATTCCATCCTTATAGAATATATTATCTTTCTCTAGATACCTTTTGTAATCTTTCAATGAACTGACATTATAAACACCAGAACAACTATTATTCCAAAGATACACTGATGAATATGATAAATATTGTTTATGAATTTACCATTTCTGAAGATTTTTACACAGAACAATAATTCATCACATATTGTGAATATAATAGTTTTAACACACTGTTTGTTTGACTCTAACCCAATTGAAAACTTGTGAAGGATATTGAAGAGGAAGGCTTATATTGGTAGACAGCAATTTTGTTATAAATATTAATTTTGGTATTCCATTCAGGATGCTGTGCTATTTCATATGAAGAAATGCAAGTGCTCACAAAAATCAATGGATGAACAATTTCTAAAACTTGTGCAAAACATGGAGTGTAGATGGCATTAATGCTGTACGTTGCATTGCAGCTCAGAGTAGACACCAGGTTCATTGACAGGGTTTTCTTGCAGTCAAATGTGGCTTAAAAATTACCCTTCAGCCAGATCGTTAACCATAAGTGAAAAACAAAACAATTTCTAGTTGTAAACCAGATTTTAGTCTTAGGTAGTACTTAACTACTATAAGCAAGCAAAGATGGGTTGAGGCATAAGTGAGGGGGGGGTGCAATTCAGCAGCTGTGATCTATCTTTCTGTGTGGCCTTTTTTGTAGCTTCTCTTTTCCTTTGTGCAGAATAGTCAGCTTTATAGACAACAGTTTTCTTTGTCCTGTCATCTTCATCCAAAATAAACAATCTTCCTTCTGTCACTTTCTCCTACTCTAGTTACTAATAGGTATCAGTCAAAAGTAAATGTTACACATTGAGTTGTCTTAAATTTAAGTCATATTGCTACACTTAAAATTTTGGCAACATTACAATAAAACTTGTCAATATTTATTATTTCCATTCAGACATTTATCTTCATCTTTGTTGTTGTTATCACATTTTGGCCATTGTACACTTTGGCCCATTATATACGGAATTCTGAAGTGAACCCTTTATTTAATCTCCAGGGGATTGTTCTCATTCCACTACCCATAGTTAAGGATATCACATATAGTTCTTATTTTTAGTACTGCTCAGTTATTGCTTGCCCTGTTTCTACAGAGTCCAAATACACACTGCCCGGCCCAGAGATTGAACTCACAATTACTATAACACCAAATTCACAAACTAACACCTTAATCCACTAAACTATTTTGTCCCATAAGACAATTCTCTGTCGAGAACTTGAAGTCTTAAAGCTAATCTGCCTGCTGCTGTTTGTTATACTTGTTTGTTTTCAAAATTTTGTTGAAAGCATTTATTTTTGTAAACATTGTACACATTTTGTAAATATCTTTTTATTTACAACATAATGTTTCTTGCAGCTTCAGTAATCTGTCTAATCATGTGAAACTTGAAAAGGCCTGAGTTCGAATTCCAGTCAGGTTAGTTACATTCAACTATATCTAGAGAGAGAGAGAGAGAGAGAGTAGGAGAGAGAGAGAGAGAGAGAGAGAGAGAGAGTAGGAGAGAATCAGAGAGAGAGGAGGAGAAAGAGAATGGAGAGAGAGATCAATGAGAGTAAGGAGAGAAAGAGAGAGGGAT